AATTCTTTAGCCTGGATTTGAACAGTGAGAGTCTGGTGAGGATCCATGATCTAGACCATCTTGTATATTATTATAGAACCAAATGCTATGAAGTATTTACTGAGAACTTCTTTTTTTAAAAAAAAGAAATAGAACAAATATCACAATGAATATAGTAGTTTATTATTGAGAAAAGTTACTTGGTTCTTTCAGAGCTAAGTTTCTATTTAGTGAAACACTACTATCTCTGTTTTTTTGAAAAAGTTTTGTTGGAGTATAGTTAATTTACAATGTAGTGTTAGCAGCAGCAGCAGCAGTGTTAGTTTTAGGTGTAAAGTGAAACAGTTTTATATATATATTCTTTTTCAGATTCTCTTCCCATGTAGGTTATTACAGAATATTGGGTGGACTTCCCTGTGCTATACAGTAGGTCTTTATTAGTTATCTATTTTACATGTAGTAGTATGTATATGTTAATCCCAATCTGCTAATTTTTTACTTCCTCCCATGTCTCCCTCTTACTAACCATAAGTTTGATTTCTAGATCTGTGAGTCAGTTTATGCTTTGTAAATAAGTTCATTTGTGTAATTTTTTACCAGATTCCGTATATAAGCGATATTATATGATACTTGTATTCCTCTGACTTACTTCACTTATATGATAATCTCTAGGTCTATCTATTTTGCTGCAAATGGCATTATTTCATTCTTTTTTATGGCTGAGTTATAGTCCATTATATATATGTGTGTGTGTGTTATATGTGACCACATCTTCTTTGTCCATTCATCTGTCTTGGCTATTGTAAACAGTGCTGCAGTATATACTGAGGTGCATGTGTCTTTTCAAATTATGGTTTTCTCTGGATGTATGCCCAGCAGTTGGATTGCTGGATCATATGGTAGTTCTATAGTTAGTTTTTTAAGAACCCTCCATACTGTTCTCCATAATGGTTGTATCAATTTACCTTCCCACAAAAAGTGTAGGAGAGTTCCCTTTTCTCCATACTCCTTCCAGCATTTATTGTTTGTGGATTTTTTGATGATGGCCTTTCTGACCAGTGTGAGGTGACACCTCATTGTAGTATTGATGCGCATTTCTCTAATACTTAGTAATGTTGAGCATTTTTCATGGGCTTTTTGGCTCTCTGTACATTTTATTTGAAGAAATGTCTATTGATTAATAGATTTTCTCTCCTTTTTTGATGGGGTTGTTTGTTGATATTGAGGTGCATGAGCTGTTGATATATTTTGGAGATTAATCCCTTGTTGGTCACATCATTTGCAAATATTTTCTCCCATTCTGTGGGTTGTCTTTTTGACTTGTTGATGGTTTCCCTTTGATGTGCAAAAGCTTTTAAATTTAATGTATTTTTGTTTTCATTTTCATTATACTAGGGGATGGATCAAAAAAGATATTGCTGTGATTTGTGTCAGTGTTCTGCCTATGTTGTCCTCTAGGAGTTTTACAGTATCCCATCTTACATTTAGGTCTTTAAACCACTCTGAGTTTATTTGTATTTGTATGGAGGTATTGCTTGTGCTGGGTCCCGGTATATGTGAAACCTGGTGTTTGCCCTCCAGGAGTCTCTGCTTCTCTCAGCCCTGTGGTGCCCCCACACCCAGGACCTGCCTGCCTTCAATGCCAAATGCTCTGAGGGTTCTTCCTCTGAATGCCTGACCCGCAGGCTGTCTTGGAGTGCTATTTTTATGTGGGAATGTCCCTGTGTAGCTTGTGTGGGCTTAATATTTTTTGCTGGTGAAGTCAAAGTGTTAAGTTGTGCCTGATTCTTGCGACCCCATGGACTGTATAGCCTGGCAGCCTCCTCTGTCCATGGGATTTTCCAGGCGAGAATACTGACATGGGTTGCCATTTCCTTCTCCAGGGGATCTTCCTGACCCAGGGCTCAAACCTGGGTCTCCTGCGTTGCAGGCAGATTCTTTACTATCAGCCATTTTTGTGCCGCTGGCAGAGAAGGCGCGGAGCTTTCCTCCTCGCGCGGTTCACGCGTGCACGTGCTCTGCTGTGTCACTGTTCGCCCACTGTGGGCTCACACACTGCGCGGCTGCTGGCCCTGCTCTCAGCCCCACCTTAACCACAGCTATGTCTGCGACTGGCCCTCGCTTCTCTCAGGCATTGTTCTCACCAGGCTACCAGCTCCGAGTCTCGGAAGTCAGATCCCAGGACTGCCCCGGGAGCTATGGAGGCAGCTCCGACGGTGGCCTGGCCCCATCCCTACGTGTGTGTGCCCGCAAAGCCCACAGTTGCTAACACTAGACTCCTCTCAGTGGTGGGAGCTCTTGTTCATTCAGATGGTCGGCAGGCGCTGAGTTTACAAAGCCAGCGGGGGTGGTGCTGGGGGTGGTGGGGAGGTGGATAGGTGTAGATCCAAGGTCCCCACTGCCGAGAGGAGAGAGTTCAGCCCTCGCTCCTTAGTTGCACAGGCCTGGGGAGGCTGGGGCAGGTGTGTGGGGAAGCGGGCAGCAAGGGCGGCCTGGGCTTCTTCCACAAACATGCCCTGTCGTGGAGCCCCTTACACCCGTCCCTTCAGGCTGTCTCTTTGCAGCTGACAGCAGTCCCCTCCCTGTGTCCACCCTCCAAACCCCGGGTTCCAGCACCCGGCCTCCATCCACACCTGCACACATGAATCTCAGGCTGGGAGGCGCAGGGCTGTGACACAGACCGTCCACGCAGGGCTCACTCTGTCCTGCCTCGTTGCTGCGCTCTCCTCTGAGCCCCTGAAACTCCCCTTCTGTCCCAGCTGATCTCCCCACCAGAAAGAGGGGGTTCCCCAGGCTCAGGAACCTCTCCTCCTTCCCCCACAGGGGTGCAGGTCCCTTCCCCTTTCCTCTTGGCTTTCTTTTGTCCTGCCTGGTTGCATGGGGATTTTCTCATCCTTTCAGGTGTCTGAGGTCCTCAGCTAGTGTTCAGCACGTGCTCTGTGAGAATTGTCCCGTTCCCGATGTAACTGGGGAGAGGTGAACTCCACATGCTTCTATTGCACTACTGTGACCCCTCACCCCTCCTATCTCAGTTTTTTTCTTCTTTTACAATAGAGGAGGTAGAATGGTTTGATGTTCTTTACCATCAAAAATAGAGGCAGAGGAGAAGGAGGTATTTTTTCGACGGGAGGGCAGTTGGTCTTATAGAGGTCACATTCCTTTCTCTCGTGTTCCTATGGGTTTGGGGCGATTCAGTGGATTTTTTGTTAGCTAGAGGCAAGAAAAGGTACCCAATAAAAAAGTATTTCTAAAATTTATGTTTTTCCAGGAAGGGAGGTCAGCATCTCCCTCCCAAGACTATGTCCACTTATGGACTTTGCTGATGTGGAGAAGATAAGAAAGTTGGGCAAAGAGAAAGGCAGCAAGGACTAACCCAGGGTAAGTTCCACCTGAAGGGGAGGAAAGATGGGTGCTGCTCATGTCTGCAAGTCTCGCAGTTGAAGCTGCTGAGGACAGATGAGAAAGGGCAATTGTATACTTTTGAGGAGGGACTGACGCTGCTTGGGCAAAGTGGTGAATACGTCAGAAGACTACAGTGCGCTGCTTCCAGGGAGTCTGAAGATGACGGAGGTCCTAGGGGACCACATCTTGGGTGGGGATTTGCTTAGTTTTCTTTGCATTGGTGCAGGTTTGGTTCTCCACCCATGCAGGCTACATCACTAGTGATCACTAACAGAAAGGAGATAGCCACAGGAGAATGGTAAGAAAGCACTATTTCTCATATTTTAAAAAAGACTTGGAAAATTTTATTTGAACCAAATGAGGGTAGCATCTCAGAAAGCTCTGGGAGCTGAAGTACCCATAAGCAGTCCAGACACAGTTATATGTTTTTTTTTTTTTTTTTGAGACAGAGGGCTGTACATTAAATGACATTATTTAAAAAAAATTTTTATTGCAGTATAGTTTTACAATGTTGTTCGTTTCTACTGTACAGCAAAGTGAATGAGTTATAAGAAATGCCATTTTTCCATGTTTTGAACCTCATAACCACCAGAGAAGTAATCTAAGAGAAAGGAAGGTCTAGAGGGTGGTATGAAAGAGAGCAGATAGATGATGCCTCTGTCAACTCCAGAGCACTTTGGTGGACCCCAAGTCTTAATTATGTTGGAAAGAGAGACAGAGGTTTGACTAAAACACGAGATTTCAAAATGGAGAGAACTAATGCAGTTAGAGGTTTGAACTAAAATGCCATTAAGGAAGCCTACTTGTCAGTGGGAAATAGGATGGAACAAAGCATAGATGCTAACAGGTATTGAAAAAATAAAATGATTTCATTTTTATACAGTAACCAGCTAAAGGTTCTCACTTAAACCAGTCATGATTATAAAGCCAGTGGAGGGAAATATTAGCCCCTTTTTCTTAGCCCCTTCAGCTTCTGTCTGATGTGGGAATTTAGAAATGCAAAATACCAAGTCCTCTATATGTAAGCCAGGCCAGCCAACATTGCCACTCCCATCTCCTGCCTCGCATGCCCTGTGCCACAGAGCTCAAGCACTTCAGTGGCCTTTGGCCACCTCACCTCACAGGTGTTCATGGTTCTTCATGTGCTCTTTCTCCTGTAGCGAGTGCCTTTCCTTTAAATGTCTGTTAGGCCAATATCCACAGATGTTTCAATTCTTAGCTTGAGTGTTAGGTCTTCTTTGAAACCATCCTGACCTGTTTCCCCCTCCCTCTCTGTTACCCATTCTCAGTCAAATATCCTTTCTGGATCCTTCCTTAATCCCTCATCTGTATGTCCTCTGTGATGCTTATACTATATACAGGTAGCTATCTATATTTCTGTCACTCTTAATAGGCAATGATCCCTCTGAAGGAAAAGAAGAGCTCTCACTTATTGTAGTACTTTGCTCAGTGGTTGGCATATAACAAAAGCATCAGAGATATTTGCTAACAGAAAGGAAAAAATGGGAGCAAAGTGGGGAGGGAGGGTGGAAGGAAGGAAAGAAAAAGGAATTTATGCTCAAAGTGATGAGGGTGCAGAGTTTGGCTTAAAAGAAGATTCTATATTATTCTTATCTTACCCTTCCAGGGAGATGGCCCGTTGGAGAGTCACTGAAGGCTGGCGGGTTGCAGTGCTATGTTGGGAATGACTGCAAGAAAAGAAAGACAAAACAAATACAGGTCATTCATTTAAAGTATCTTCGCACATTCTAATCAGGCCTGTGGTCAAAAAAAGAATCGATCTTAGAAGAAACACAGGAGAGATTAAATAACTGTTCTTCGCTGATAAACAGAATCATCCACCAAAATAAAACACTCTACCAGGTAAGGGGTTAATTTTTCTTTATCATTTGATGTCAACATATTTTCAAAAAGCAAGCTTCAAATGAAGGGTAACTGTGAAAAGAAACATATTTGGAAGAGGTAATTATTTTCCCCTTGGAATAAGACAATGTAGAGCATAGAAACAAATTTCATTATGATGCAATATGATATATTTCTAAAAAAATGCAAAATTTTTTAACAAAACTTTAAACAGAGTAAATTTGAAAATTGGAGTAGTATTTAATTAGTACAAATTTATTAAATTTGTAATAATAAAAATAATTCAGCTATTGAATGAACATAAAAGCTTGAAAAATGGGATTTTCAGTTGCATATTGATGTTAGAATTTAATGTAATTTCATATTTATTTTGCTTGTGTGATAACAAGGTAAGACTGATTTTATAGATGAGTAGTTGTAGTAGACATTATAGTGTCTAACATTTATTGATCACCTATTGCCTGAATTACTTTTCTAAGTATACTTTTTACATCCTTTATTTCTTACAACTTGTGAGGTATGTACTGTGCCATTTGACAGATGAGGAAATTAAAGTACAGGGTGCTTAGAAACTTGCCCAAAGTCACGTGGTAAATACCTATGCTTGAAGTGGCAACTGAACTGATGCTAGTGCCTTCTTCTTAACTATCACTTTCCAAATGGTGGTAATTTTTTTGTTTTAAAGATTTTTTTCCTTACTAAGAATACTCTTCAGTTAGAGATGCACAGTTACAACTAAGAGCAAAAAGGAATGCATTGTGAGTTTCCTTTGTGTTACAGTATACGATAAAATGTATTTCAATCTGTAATTTTAGTTTGTAGTATTTAAAAATTATTTGTAACATTAGTTATGTATATATTATACATATAGTCTATGAAGGTGTGTATACTTTCATGTAAATATATATATATGTAGAGTGAAACTTGGGAGAAGGCAATGGCACCCCACTCCAGTGTTCTTGCCTGGAGAATCCCAGGGACAGAGGAGCCTGGTGGGCTGCCGTCTATGGGGCCGCACAGAGTCGGACACGACTGAAGCGACTCAGCAGCAGCAGCAGAGTGAAACTTGAGTGAAATATTTGTAGAACACGAGGTGTCTTCATACTATTCTAAGCCTCCTTAGCACATACTCTGAATACACTGCCACTGTCACAGAGAACCAAGCTATATAGGTTGCAGACTTTTATTCAAAACTTTCATCATCATGGGTGAGAAGAGGTATCTCTGATGACTGTTTAACTGTGACATGGGCAGTATTTATCTGAGGTTGAGGGAGCAGAATGTGTGACAACAGCTAAAATCTAGAGAATGGTTTTCTTCAAGTTAAGGCTTGTGTCCTTTGTTTCCTGACATCCTCATGCTGAGCAACAGTCATGGCACTGAACGAGTTTTGACTGAGTGATGGAAAGGAAGCGCAGCATTCAGGCCCGGACCACGTAGCCAGACTGCCCGAGTTCAAATCCCAGCTCTGTCATACAGACGACTGGGACCTGGACTGAGCTTCTTAAAGTTCTCTGTAATAGAGCGTTCCTCATAGGGTACTTATGAGGATTCAATAAACATAGTTTTTAGGACAGTGCCTGTTACATGGTAAAAGCTACATAAGTATTTATTAAATAAACCAATATGATTTAGCAGAGTGTCTACTCTGAGCTGTTTCATACTAAATAAGCATAACTATTTAGATCAGTTCAGTTAGCCATAAAGTCAATGCCACAAGGTAGAGATTTGTGAGTATACCCTAACTTTGATGAGCAATGTAAAATTAAAGTGTAAAAATAACATTATAAAATTAATAGAAATCATCCATAACAATCAGATGAGGAAAAAGAAAAGTTATCCAAATTGGAAGGGAAGGAGGAAAATTGTCATCATATGCAGATAATGATACTATAGAGAGAAAATAAGGTGCCACCAAAAACTACGAGAGCTCATCAGTGAATTCAGTGAAGTCGCAGGATACAAAGTTAATATACAGAAATCAGTTGCATTTCTTTCTACTAATAATAGATACCAGAAAGGTGAAGTAAAAAAACAAAAAACCCTTTTAAAATTGCATCCAAAAAAAAAACCCAAAAACTCAGGAATGAACCTCAACCAAGAAGATGAGACTTATAAGCTGAAAACTAAAAAGTGCTGATAATGTAAACTGAAGATAATTAAAAGAAATTCTCATTGTTAAAATGGCCAAACTACCCACAGCAAACTATAGATTTAATGTGGGCCTTATCAAAATACCCTAAAATTTATATGGAACCAGAAAAGACCTAGAATTGCCAAGTAAACCTGAGGAAAAAGAAAAAAGCTGGATGCCTAACTCTCCTAGACTGCAGACAATACTACAAAGCTACAGTAGTAAAAACAGGACAATATTGATCAAAAACAGACATATGGATCAATGGAACAGAATAGAAAGCCCGGAAATAAACCCATGCACTTATGGTCAAAATGAATCTACGACAAAGGAGGGAAGAACACAAACATAGAAAAGAGGCTCTTCAATAAGTGGTTCTGGGTAAACTGAACAGTTACATGCAAAGAAAATTTAGAGCATCCTCTAATATCATATATAAAAATAAACTCCAAACAGATTAAAGACCTAAAATAAGACTGGATCTATAAAACTCTCAGAAATCAGACAAAACATTTCTCTGATGTAAATTGTAGCGTTTCCTAAGGCCAGTCTCCTGAGGCAATAGAAATAAAAGTGAAAGTGAAAGGAACCTAAATCGAACTTACTGTGGCTGAAGGGCAGGGCCAGACAAAATGTGGTTCACTGCAGAAAGGAGTGGCAAACCACTTTGGTATTCTTGCACTGAGGACCCCATAGAAATAATGAAAAAGTAAAAAGATATGACACTGGAAATGAGACCCGCAGGATGGTAGGTGTCCAATATGTTACTAGGGAAGAACGGAGAAACAGCTCCATAAAGAATTAAAAGGCTGGACTAAAGCAGAAACATTGCCCAATTGTGGATGTGTCTGGTGGTGAAAGTCTGATGCTGTTAAGAACAATACTGGATAGGAACCTGGAATGCTAGGTCCAAGAATCAAGGTAAATTGGAAGTGGTCAAACAGGAGATGGCAAGAGTGAACACTGACATTTTAGGAATCAGTGAACTAAAATGGAGTGGCATGGTTGAATTTAACTCAGATGACCATTATATCTACTACTGTGGGCAAGAATCCCTTAGAAGAAATGGA